CGCGGATTCTGCCGCGGCCGCTTCGCCCGCGCGCGGGCGCAGGCGCGGCGATCCCGTGCGAGCTGGCGCTAGCGACGACGGCGGCGGCCCCTCCCCCCGCCCCCTGCCACCGCTGCCCGGTCGGTCGACGTCGCTGCCACGTCTCCCCCCCTCGTCCTCCAGGTTGTCGCCTGGGCTTGGTCTGGAGTGTGCTGTGCGGGAATGTTATGCCCCCCCCCCCTCGCGCGGTTTTCAAGGGCCCCTGGCGCGCGTCGCAGTTAGGGCGCCCGCCCTACTTATCATGCTAGCGCCAGCCGGCGTCAACGTCACAAGCCCGGGTGCCAGCTGGGGGGGGGGGGGGGGCTTGAGAAAGCTCCGAGGGCACTGCGGCGCCACAAGCATCGCCCTCCAGGAAACCTGGCACCCAACCGACCGCATCCACTTTTTCGACAGGGGCATGCGATCAACAGAAAACATTGCCTGGATACCTGCATGGGGGCGCAGCCCCGCGTCTGACCACGTGCAACGCAAAAGCTTCCGCGGGGGGTCGACCGCGAGGTCCGATCTACGGCTGCCAAACATGGTGGCGTCTGCATCGCTTCCCAAGGAACCCTTGTTGGCGCCACGAAGGACGGACCCTCGGTGGATACCCTCCTCGCGACCGCGCGATGGACCGGGGACTGCCCCATCCCCGACGCGCGCGCAATCAGGAGGGTGCGGAAGCGGCTTGCAACAGCAATGGCATAAACGGCGTCTGCGCTGCGTCTGTCCACGCCGAATATGGCGCGGACAATGCTGCTCTTTCCCTCCAGGTTTGGGGGGCTGCAACCAACGTCGGCGACGCACCGCGATTGATTTGCATGGGCGCGCGTTGCGACGCCGAGGATTCAACCTTCCTAACCCCGCGTTCCAACCTAGGGTGGTTCAACGCGGCATCAGGACATCCCGACGAATGAGTCTGCACCCGCGGTCAAGTCCTCGACCGGGACAGACACGCGCCAGGAACTGGGAGGACACGAGTTGACTGTGTCCTCGCCGACGCAGAAGGCAGGCAGCTCGTCTCCACCTGTGTCCTGCTTCGCGATCTCCCCGCCAAAGAACACCTAGGTCTCCTTGTCTTTCCCAGCATGGACGTGGCCAGACAGCCGCCGAGAACGCTTGGGGCTGTCGCGCCCCGCCCACTGGCCTACGCAGCCGCAGGCAGTGATGCGCCCTCGGTGGCCCCATCAAACAAGCTTGCCGTCCACGAACGGTGGCCGCTGATGAAGCTGACGATGCGGACGCGTTGCTCGACCTCGCCAACCCTGAGCTCGCCGCCAGATGTCCACCGCAGGACCAAAACAAACCTGTCACCAGGAGTGGTAGAGTCCCAATTTTCAAGGATGGGCGCGCTGCCCCGTCGGTCAGGCCGGAGCACGGCACTTCCAATCGCGATGTGACCTTGGTAAGCTCTCAATGCAACTTAAACAGCGGGAAAGGGCTGGTGGCCCACCTCCATGATGCAACCGAACACTCATTGGGCCGGTATCAAGCGCAGTCGGGTTGCCGCTGACGTCCGAGCAGAACGGTTTCGCCCCGCAGGGCTCCCGCGCGGGACCGCGGCGAGCCCCCGACAGTCATTCAACTCGACTATGTCATCGCCGTCGCGGCCGCGCAGGCGAGACGCTTCTCGCCCGCGACGAACCATGCGGCGATCGCGACTGGGAAGACCGCGAGCGGGCTAAGGACGGGGGGTAGAGACAAAACCCTAAAGTTTAAAGCGGCGGGCAACTCCAGCGCCGTCGACCCCCCGTGCGCCCCGCGACGGCCGCAGCCCACCCCGCGCACCGCCAAGTACCTGCGGGGGGTCCAGAGCGGGAGGGGGGCCTGCTGGACCAGGGCGCTGGCTCCACCGCAGCGCCCAATGACCCTGCTTCGGAGAATGACAGTGAGAGCGACGGCGCCCGGGCCCACAGCGAGCCAAGCACGATCCTCGCGGACGCCAGCGCCACGATCACGCTCATGACCGACGTTTGGGGGCACATCCGCGGCAGATGCCAGGCGACCGAGTGCCGCGCCCGCGAGGTCGCGCCCGCCTGGTGAGACTTCAGTGCTGAGTGCCAGCTCCAGCTCCCTGAGCTGACGACAGTCGAGCTCTCCGTCCATGCCGACGACGGCCTCGCCCACTTCGCTAGGGCGATGCCCGCTGCTAGAGCAGGCGGTCTCGGCGGAAGGACCACCGAGGACGCAGATGCGCTTACCGGCCGCGTTCTGCTCCTCTTCGCCCGGGCGCTGAGAGCCATGCAACGTGCGGGGGGTGTCCCTGATCCTCCGCCGCGCGCCCCCACCCCCTTGCACGGGGGAAATGGGAAGGCGAACTTCCTGCGGATCTCAGACTGCTTCCGGTTAATCTATCTGGACATGCGCCTCGGAAACACCCGCTCTCCGCGACCTGGCTTGCAGCGGGGGCCCTGGGCTCGCCCCGCCAGCTTCGGAGCGGCCCCGCGCGCCACTACTACTTATCAGCGACTTCAGCGCCGCGCTCGCCCTGCAGGTCGAACGCGCGCGACGTCGCCAGGCGACGCTTGCCGGGGTGGCGCTCGGCAAACAGAGATGCGTTGACTACCTCGTGACTGACGTCGGTCGCCACCTGGCCCCGCGCGCCGGGCGCTCCTGGGGCGCTGCGCCCGCGGCGAAACTTCTTCGGCAACCGCAGCCGCTGCGTCCGCATGGGAGGAGCCCACTCCCCGCCTATGTGGCGCACCAGCGGGCGCCTGGAAGGGATCTCCTCCTCCCCGACGACATTGGGCCCATCGCGTGCGTCTGGGCAAAGCGTCAGCGCGGGCGCGCCCCGCGACCCCGCGGCTAAATTTTCGTCGACGACGGCAACTCCTCTGCCCCTGCTGCCCCGATGCCGGGGGACTTCAGACTTCTCTCGGCCAGGCCGCTAGATTTTGACGGAATGCCAGGCCCGAGAATTTACGCGGGCAGAGTTGCGGGATGGGCCATTGGAGGAGATCTCACGCGCCTGGTCGCTGATTCCCAACTGCAAAGACAAGCGCTCTAGACTCGTCGCCAGGCGGGGGCGGTTGGAAGCCGCATCAACGCGGCGCCCGAGACCGAGGGGCCAGGGGTCAACCTGGAAGCCGCCGCCGGCGCCGGAGTTCACAAATTCATTGAACGCCTCCCCCGCGCCGGGCCCGCCCAGTCCCTGCCGCCAGTGCGCGCGCCGCTGGCGGGGGCACTTGAGCCGCAACTGACGGCGCGCGCAGCCTTTGCAACGACGCGGCCTTCGCGGCCATCGTGCCCAAAGGGCGCCCGTCGATCTCGCAGCGGGCACTGCGCGCTCTAGCTGCCCCTAGCCATGCCATTGAACTAGGCGCCATCGCTCGAAGAGAGGCGCCACTCGGTCCCCGAAGGCAGGCGCGGAGGGGCGCCAGCCTCAACACAAAAACCGAATCGGTTCACGGCCGCGAGCAAATCTTCCGAGGGGGCGGCCCCGTCGGCGGAGCGTGGCACGCCATCGTTCAACTCGACAAGACGCGGCCCGCATTCGCTACCATGCATGACGACTGGGGCGCGCGCCTATCCTGGCTGCAAATTCCAGCCAGCCTTTTTCACCCACGTGCTCCGCGCCTCGCAATGGGGAGCTTTTCTCTGGCGCACCCGTGTGACCGGGCATGGTATGGGAGCCGTCGCCGCTGTCAACCAAGGCCTTGATTACGTTGCCATCATTCGGCTCCTCTGGACCGAAGGCAGAACCAATGCACAGAATGGCAATTCGGGCTCCTCTGCGACTTTATTCGCGAAGGTGACCACGCGCAACCGAGGAAAATCAAAGCCAGTATACTGGCTGGCCCACCCCTGGGGGCACGTGGTGCGACCAAAGAAACACACCCGGGAGTGCACTGTCTGGAGATGCCGCTGCTGGGCTAATCAGTGGGCGGCCTTCAAGACCATGACAACCGAGCATCACTGGCAGAAGCTCCCACCTCTCACCAGGTACTGTGGCCTTCTGGAAAACAGCTCCACCCTGCCCGACCTTGAGGCCACCCTGACGGAGGTCGAACACCCACAACCCCCTCCCAGACAGCCCCAAGGGAACGCCGACGACGACTACCAGTAATACGCCGAACGGCGCCCGATGGGTCTACGCCGCCACCGATGGGTCTACGCCGCCACCGACGAAGCCCGCCCCTTCCTGGCCAGGGCGGGCTTCGGGGTACACTGCGGGCCAGACCACCAGCTCAATCACTCCGCGCGAGCGCGCGGCCTCGCACAGTCCGCGCAACGTGCTGAGACCTCTCGCCGTGCTGCACCCCTCAGCCGAACGGCCCGCGCACGTCTTCGTGGACAACCAAGCTGCGGTGGACGGGCTCGAAGACTTCCTCCGGGGTGAACCGCCTCAACACGTTGGGCAGCAATCGGGCCCCTGGCGTAGAATCCATCGGACGCTACAAACCGAACCCGATCCTCTTTCAATCCAACAAATCGAAAGCAACTTGGAAGAGCAAACTATTAACGACGGTCACACCACGCCCATCGCGGAAGCTTCCGGCCGACATGTTGACGAACTCGCCACCGCGGGGCTAGGCTACACAACATCCCACCACCACCCTTATAGCAAGCGGCGCCTGTCGCTTTATGAGGCGGGCCCAGTGAGCACGCGCGGCTCAAAGGGCCTGGACGACGCTGCCGTCCGATGTGGTGCGCTCTTTCGTTGTTTATCTCTCTTTCTCCCTCTCTTTCTCTCTCTCTCTCTCTCTTTCTCTCTTTCTTTCCCTCTCGCCCCTTCCTCTCTCGCCGTTATCCCTCCCTTTCTCGTTTTGTAGCTATATATATATACATACATACATACATACATACATACATACATACATACATACATACATACATACATACATACATACATACATATATATGTATCGTTGTTTCTCTCTTCCTCTCTCTTTCTCTCACTCTCACTCTCTCTCTCTCTCCCCCCCTTCCCCTCTCGCCCTTCTCCCCCGCTGGTCCTCCTCCTACCCCTCGGCGTGCAAATCCTCCCAAGACTGGAGACGGCCAGCCTGCCCCTCGCCCCTGCTCGAGCCAAGCGGCCGCCGTCGCGGAGCAAGGACTCCCAAGACGGCCCGTAAGACCGAGGCAGGCGATGCTGCCCACGGATGAGGCCCAGTGAGGACTCCTCCTTCTCCTCCTCCTCCTCCTCCTCCTCCCTCTTCCTCCTCGGCCTTGAGCGTCCTCATCCTCCTCGTCCCACTCGGCCTCTCCCTGATCATCCCCCTCCCCCTTCTCCTCTTCCTCCTCCTCCTCCTCCTCAACCTTCTTCTCCTCCTCCCCCTCATCCCTCCTCCTCCTCCTCCTCCTCCTCCTCCTTCTCCTCTTCCTCCTCCGCCTCCTTCTCCTCCGGCCTCCTCCTCCTCCTTCTCCTCGTCCTCCTCCTCCTCCTCACCCTCACCCTCACACTTCTCCTTTTCCCCCTCATCCCCCTCGGCCCGCTCTGCACCTCTTCCTTGTCCTCCTCCTCCTCTTCCTCCTCCTCCTGTTGCACATCCATTCTCCTTGGCGCGGTGCCGAGGCCGGGTGCGCCTGGGCGTTCGCCTGCAAGCAGGCCGATGCACTCCCTCCTCCTCCTCCTCCTCCTCCTCCTCCTCCTCCTCCTCCTCCTCCCCCTCTTCCTCTTCCTCATCCACCTCCTTCTCCTCCTCCTCCTCATCATCGTCGTCATCATCATCATCACCATCACCATCACCATCACCATCACCATCACCATCACCATCATCATCATCATCATCATCATCATCATCATCATCAGCATCATCATCAGCATCATCATCATCACCACCAGCAGCATCATCATATCATGATCATCATCAGCAGCAGCAACAACAACAGCATCATCATCATCACCACCACCACCATCACCACCACCACCACCACCACCACCACCACCATCATCATCATCATCATCATCATCATCATCATCATCATCAGCATCAGCATCATCATCATCATCATCATCATCATCATCATCATCATCAGCATCACCATCACCATCATCAGCATCAGCATCAGCATCAGCATCAGCGTCATCATCATCCTCATCCTCATCCTCATCATCATCATCACCACCACATCATCATCATCATCATCATCATCATCAGCAGCAGCAGCAGCACCAACACCATCATCATCATCATCATCATCATCATCATCATCATCACCATCACCATCGCCATCATCATCACTATCACCATCACATCTCCTCCTCCTCCTCGTCCTCCCCCTCTTCCTCTTCCTCATCCACCTCCTTCTCCTCCTCCTCCTCCTCATCATCATCAGCAGCATCAGCATCATCATCACATCAGCATCATCCTCATCAGCATCACCATCGCCATCACCATCATCATCAGCATCATCATCATCAGCGTCATCACCATCATCATCATCAGCGTCATCATCATCATCAGCAGCATCATCATCATCATCAGCAGCATCAGCATCAGCATCAGCATCATCCTCATCATCATCGTTTTCCTCCTCCTCGTCTTCCTCCTCCTCGGCACCTCGGCACCTCCTCCTCCCTCCCTCCCTCCCTCCCTGCCTCCCTCTCTCCCTCCCTGCCTGCCCTTCTCTTCCTCCTCATCCTCCTTCTCCTCGTCCTCCTGCCTTTTGTCCTGTTCGCTGGGAGGGGTTGGTCGTTATCTTAGATGGACCCACTCGGATGCCCCAAAGCGCCAACACCTCCACACTGGAGGCTTGGCTTGGCTCCCAAATCGGAGGTAGAGTGCGCCTCGAAGATCCCAGCCCCCAAGCCCCCGTCATCCCTCATATTGCAGATTATGAAGAGGATGCGACGGAAAAGGAGGAGGAAAAAGAGGAGGAGGAACACGAGGAGGACGAGGAGGAGGAGGAGAGGGAAGAGGAGGAGAGGGACGAGGGGGAGGAACCTCTTCCCCTCGTCCGTAGAGGAAGCCGAGGAGGATGAGGAGGATGAGGGTGATGATTCTGGATCGTCCCCTCGTTCTTTGTTCTTTGGGGGATCCTCCCCTCGGCCGAGGCGGAGGAGGAGGAGGAAGAGGAGGAGTATTATGGATCCTCCCTTCGCTTTTGTGAGATCCTCCCGTCGATACGCACTCCACAACCGATCTGGGAGCCAAACGAAGCCTACAGCCAGGAGGTCTGTGAGTCTCCGGGCATCAGAGAGGGGTCGTCGGAGACAATGGCCAATTCCACCCAGCGGGGGAAGCGAAAGAGGGGAGGAGGATTGTAGTGTAGCACTGATGCCCTTGATGGCCGGCAGAACCCTCTAAACTCGAATGGGGAGGAGGATGAGTTGGAGGAGGAGGAGGAAGAGCAGGAGGGGTCAGATGCAGTGCGGACACTCCTGCCTTCGAATGCACCAACGCGACAAAACATACACACCCGCGCACAAAGGCACACACGCGCACACACACAGACACACAGACACACACGCACACACACACACACACGCACGCACGCACGCACGCACGTATTGACGCACGCACGCACACACGCACACGGACACACACATGCACATACACACACACACGTACACACAAGACACACACACACACACACTCACACGCACTCGCACACACACACACACATACGCACGCACACACAAGACACACACACACACACACACACACGCACGCACGCACACACACACACACACACACACGCACGCACGCACGCACGCACGCACGCACGCACGCACACAAACACACACACACAGGCGCACACACACACACTCTCTCGCAAACACACACACACACACACTCTCACACACACTCTCACACACATACACACATACACACATACACACAACTCACATAATACACTAACACACATACACACATACACGCATGCACACATCCAAACATACACACATGCACATACACATACAAAGACACGGAGACACTGAGACACAGAGCGACAGAGACACAGAGCCACAGAGACACAGAGCCACAGAGACACAGCACACACACACACACACCACACCACACCACACCACACCGCACCACACCACACCACAACACAACACAACACAACACCGCACAACACAACACGACACGACACGACACAACACAACACGACACCACAACACACAACACACAACACAACACAACACACACCACACACCACACACCACACGCCACACACACACAACAACCCCGATCCTCCGAATCCGAATCTCGCCCAGCCCCCGGCCCGCTCAGCGCCCGCGCGCACACACGGACCGCACCGCCCGTGCGCTCGAAGCCGTCGCCAGCGCCGCCAACGCCCGCGCCCTCACGCGCCCGGCTCGGTTTTGATGGCGTCCAGCGGCTGCGCGCCCGCGCCTGCGAGCTCCGGGGCGTGGCGCCGCACGTCGTCGAAATCGCCGAACTTCGGCGCCTGCGGGAATGCAGTTGGCCCGCTCCCCTTCCCACTCTGGGTTCGTTGCGCCAACAAGAGATACGGCGCAAGTGGCACCGAGCAACAGTGGAACCAGCACTTCACGGTGCAAGCGGCGCCACGCGACAGTGCTACTAGGGCGGGCGGGCGGGGCAAACTGTCCCTGTAACCCCACATTGCTGCGAAATGTCAGGATAAAGCTGGAGAGGGGAGCAAGGCAGAGATCAAAGCGGGGGGTCACGCGGAGCTAAATGTGCTTCACCTTCGCGGCTCAGCGCTTTGGCAAACGCTGTCCTCAACCACGGCGTCGCTGTTTCGAAGGCCTCTGGACGTCTCTGGGGATTCTCGTCGCCACGGCGTGGACGCGGCTCGAAAAACAGGCCATGATGAGCCCCCAGAGAAATCCGGGGACGGGGTTGTGCATGTGCTTGCCGCCCACAAAGAACAAGCCCCTTCCTCAGAGAAACTTTGGCACTGCCCCCCGCCCAAGATACCCCCCCTAGTTAAGACTGGAACCGCGCAATTGGACGATCCCTGGCCGACCCCCTGGAAGCCCCCTGCCCCCCCACCCCCGAGCAGGAATCGAGACTGTCGAAGACGGGTCCGAAGTCCATGACGGAAGGGGAAAAAAGATGGGGGGCCGTCAACCCTACGGAGGGGAGGGGCGGGCAGGGGATGGGGAGGGGGTGGGGTCGGAGGAACAGGTGGGGTCGGAGGAACGCGCCGCACCGCCGATGCATTGCTGATGCATCAGCGATTCACCAAAACCATGAGATGCTCCACTGGCCCCAGCCGAGGAACACTCGAGGGTAATTACTCTACCCCAGGATGCACGAGAACATCTGACAAGCACGAGGAGCACTGGGGTACCCTCCCCGAGCCGATCTCGACCATGCCTCGGTCTGGCGGAAAGGAGGACCCTCTCCTCCGAGTTGCAATTTTAAGGACGTCGGCCCCCAGCGCTTCGACCGCTCTCCTGGGTCCGGATTTCCATGCTGAAGAGTTACTTGACTGTCGTAAGTCCCAGAAGCGGCGTCCGAACACTGTGAGAAAGATCTGCCGTCGCGAATATCTCGCGCCACCTTCCACATGTTGGAAGGACGCGGAGAATCCAGGACTCCGACGTCATTATTTCTTCGCAACATCGGGCCCCAAGGGTCGGGACCATTTCCCCGGGACTGACTGTTCATGCTGGGTCGTTCTTTGCCGGTCCCGAGGCCTGGCGAAGGCCCTCAGCCGAAAACTGCCCAAAGCCTCCCGTCATGTGTTTGTCAAAGGCGTTCAAGAGTGGGGGTCCACGAAGGAGGTCCACGAGAGGGGGTCGCAAATCATGGCCCGAGGCACGTGCGCGGCCCGGGGGGGGGCTCAGGTCAGGGGCGCATTGACATAGGATGAGGCGCCAAAAAAATCTTGGGAGATATCATGGCCCCGGCCATGATATCCACCCCCCTTAGTTAGTCATCACCCTCGCTTGGCCGCCCCCGAGAGGTGGGTGAAGGACGAATCATGGCCCCGGCCATGATATCCACTCCCCCTTTGATCAGCCATCACCCCCGCTTGGCCGCCCCCGAGAGGTGGGTGCAGGACGAGAACTCTTGTCATCAGCGAGGGCGGTCGCCAACGCGTCCGGAAAGCCGGCGGGCCGCGACGGAGCCAGGGCACCCAAGGAGAGTGCGCGGGCGGCCTCAGGCACTGGAGACGAATGTGCTGCAAGGTGTGCGGCCAGCGCGAGCTGCCGAAGGGGGGGGGCAGCGTAGGTCCCACTGGAGAGGCAAGGATAGAGACCTCCCAGATGGGGTCCGAGGAGATGGGGTCGGAGGATCGCGCCGCACCTCCGATGCATTGCTGATGCATCAGCGATTCACCGACGACGTGGGCGATGCATCGGCGAAGTCGGCGTGGAACACATCGGCCTGACCCCTTCTACGGCCAGACCTAGGACCTAGGAAAGAAACACATCCTTCAAGAATATGAGATCCTCCGTCGGCCCAAGCCGAGGAACACTCGAGGGTACCCTCCCGCAGGATTTGCGAGAACCGACAAGCACAAAGAGCACTGGGGTACCCTCCCCGAGCCGACCTCGATCTTATGCCTCGGTCTGGCAGTACTTGGACCCCACCTGGGGGGGCTAGACACCGGTCATTGCACCGACCTTGCAGACGTGCTGCAGCGGATTTTGCGTGGATTTATGATTTCTGTCAAAACCCCGTAACTGCGAGTGGAAGAACGAAGTGAATTTCGCGTGCTTTAGTCTTCATTCCTGGCCCAAACAAGTCCGCACGAAACTCGCCTCAAAGTCCGGAACGAGATCCTCCGGGACACTCCAGGCCCATCCTATCGCTTTCCGAACGAGATCCGCTCTGCGATGTTGGCGCCATTCGGGGATCTTCTGACCCGGGTCAATCCAGACCCGGGTCAGCAGAAAACCAAAAACTGCAATGCAGGAACAAAAAAACTGCAACGCAGGTCTTCGCAAACCCGGGTCAGCCAATAAGCGCGGCCGCCTCGCAGCCACGGGCGGCTCGCTAACCCGGGTCAGCCAGAGGGGGTCTTCGCAGGATCCTGCAGGATCCGGTGCCGTGGCTGACCCCCGTCTGCATTGACCCCCGTCTCGAGGCTCCCGAGCCATGACACCTGAGGGGGGCCAGGCCCCGGAGGGGCGGGGAGGCGCGAACGCACACGCTGAGAAGCCGGGCTGGCGAGCCGGCCGATCTGCGGCAGGCGCCGGGCCTGCAGGGCGCCCTCCGGCTCCCAGGAGCCGGGGGCCTGCGGCGCGCCAGCCGCCAGCCGCCGCGGCACGACGCAGCGCCTGACGCAGCCGCCCGGGCGGCAAAGTCTGTAAGACGGGCCTTCCGCTCCTCCTCCTCCTCCTCCTCCTCCTCCTCCTGCTCCTCCTCCTCCTCCTCCTCCTCCTTCTCTCCTCCTCCTCCTCCTCCTCCTCCTCCTCCTCCTCCTCCTCCTCCTCCTCCTCCTCCTCCTCCTCCTCCTGCTAAGTCTTGCCCGTGGCCCTCCTCGAGGATCCAGGAAGGGTTTCGGACGTTTTCGGGTGGTTCTTGGACGTTTTCGGCCCTTCTCGGGTCTCCAAGGACCTGCGGGGACCTGCGGGGACCGGGGACCTCCAGGGTCAGGATCCAGGGCGGGAGCAAAACTTACCACCTCTTCCTCCTCTTCTTCTTCTTCCTCCTCCTCCTCCTCCTCCTCTTTCTCCCCTTCTTCCCCCTCAGACACACCCCAAGCACCCCACAGAACCATCTCTACAGCTGGCTTTCCAGGCCTGCTCGAAGCTTCATCCTTCACATTCGTTCCTCCTTCCACCCCGCCGTCTAGGAATGGGACGGATTCGGCAGGCAAGGCCCCGATCCAGGATTCTTGAAAGGGAAGGGAACGGTTCGACGGGCGATTCTTCCCGATCCAGCGTTCTGGTTCTGGAAAGATTCGACGGGCGATCACCTGATCAAGCATTCAGGTGCGGGAAGGGTTCGGCGGGCGATCACCCGATCAAGCATTTCGGTGTGGGAATGGTTCGGCGGGCGAGACTCTGATCCCGCATTCTGGTGCGGCAGACATCGAGCGTGAGGAAGATCGAGGTTCGAGGTTTCGTGCGTTGTCGCGTTTCCCAGGGCGCCTGGCCGCGAGCGTTCCGGGGCTGCCTGGATCGGCCCGAGCGGGCGCCAGAGGCCAGAATTATGACCCGAAGGCGGATTGCGGTGGGTTCGCGGGGAGGGCGTCGTGGGTGGGCGTGAAAGCGCCGGGCTCTCGCAATGGTGCGCGGCATATTCGAATCAAAACCACAGCATTCCGCACAAAGAAGCGCTGTCGCCGTCCCTACGAACATATTGCGTTGTGCCTCCTTCCACAGTTCGTGCAATCTAAATCCAATGCTTCGTCCCTGGTTCCGGGGCATCAACTGACGTGCTGCTTCAAAGCATTGCCACATCTTCGCTTCTGACGTTCATATTGTCTTTCTTCTCATATCGTACGGCTGGTTGCGCTGGGAACCCGAACGGCTCATTCGGTCCATCCTGAAGGTCTGATGTGCAGGCACGTGCAACCTTGGAATACCTCTTGTCTTGATCATGAGGCAGCCACTCGTGCAACTTGGTCTGGCCAGGACATACCAGAACAAATATTGCAGGGACAAAGAAAACAATCCGTAACTTTAGAATGCGACTGCGTGAGAGCACTGGCTATGGGGCCACATGCGAACCCTACCCCTACCCCCCACGATTTCTGAGGGGGAGGGCGGGGTTCGCATGTGGCCCCCTACTGGCTCGACAGTCACAATGGCACCTGGTCCTCGAAGCACGATATCCGGCGCACGAGAAAGGGCCAGTGCGGATCGTGGCCTGGCTAGCAGGGCGAGCCCCGTACCACAGAAACGAACATGCCTCTACGCCAGCTCCTGAGATACAGTAGGAGCTCGACCACGAGAAACCCTTCACACGAAACCCAACCCTGAGACCCCAGGACGTCCATTGATTTTGGTGTGGGCGCGTGACGCTCTCCATCGCAAAATCATCGAAACCCAAGAAACCCAGGGCACCCAAGAGGCAAGCAGGGTGTTTCTTGGCATGGGCTTCCACTTTAGGGTCAAAATCAACTGCAGCGATACCCCAGGCTATTGAGGCTAATCGGGGCCAGTGTAGGGACAATGTCGGGAACCAGCCTTGGCGGCAACCGGAGTTGATGGGGCTAGACGGGGCCACTGTTGGGAACCTTCGCTGGCAGCAATCAAGGAACCAAGGCTGGCGGAGCCAGTCGGTGCCAGGTTCGGGAACCAGCATAGGAGGCAAACAAAACGCTTATGGTATCTACAGCCCTTTAAACAAACAGAAAACACATCATGGCGAAATAACCAACCATATGCAGCTGTGAGTGCCGCGTTGTGGATACCGCGTTCGGTGGGGCGACCCTCGTGAGTGGCGTGCCAAACTGGGCGGGAGGCCGCATGTGGCCCTTGCCACTGGGGCCTTCGGTGGAGCTCCCTATCGGGGAAGGAGCGACACCCAACAAAACCACTCAGCCACCGCGGGGGGAAGCCGACAAAGGGAGACCCCTCCCCCTGCACACAAAACGGGGCTCGAGGCAAGAGGGAGAGCCCCCCCCTGTTCCCCCCCAAACACTCGAACTCGAAGATTTGTCTCTTCCCCCCTCGCGCGCTGGCTGGGGGAGCCCCCCCCCCCCCGGCATTCGAATAGATTTCTTTCTCCCCCCCGCACGGAGAAAGGGATAACCTTCCCTCCCAACACTCGAATCCTGTTTTTTTCTCTCCGACTCGCACGGGGAGAGGGAGAGCCACCCTCCCCCACACGCACATCCGAATATCGTGTTCTTCCCCTCTCGCGCGCTGGAGAGGGGGTTGAGGGGCATAGCGCCCCCCCCGTTGTTGCGTCTTTGTTTTTTTCTTTCAAGTTCCCTTGCATGGGACTTCTGTGGGAGGGGGGGGAGGGGGGGGGCGTGGGCCATTTGAAAGCGGTTGTTCCGTTTCCTCCTCCTGCGCTTCCTCCCTCTTCCTCCTTCTCTTCTTCCCGTTCCTCCTCCTCTTCCTCCTCCTCATCCCAATCAGAACCCCCTTACGGAGCATAATCATGCAACACCTGAAGGAAAAGCAAACAACATCAACCAACGCAAACACAGCAATCCTGGGAGGACTAATTCCTATGGGTGGGGTGAAGGGAGGGGGGGAGTCCCTCAGGATTGCGTGTTTGTTTTTTGGCTGCGGGATGAGGATTCTGACTGGGATGAGAAGGGAGCGGAGAAGGAAGAGGAGGAGGAGGAGGAGGAGGAGGAGGAGGAGGAGAAAACGGAGGGGGGGAAGGGGATGGGGAGGAGGAGACGACGACAACGACGGCGGCAGACAGGGGCATCCACAAATGGATGCCCCTCCCCCCTCCTCCGACTTGATGCGGCAGAGATGTGCGGCCACAAATGGATACCCCCTCGGCCATGGCCCCGTTCTTCCCTTTCCTCTCATTGTCTTCTTTTCTTCCACAAGGGGAATTTCCGAGCACTGTGGGCTGCATAAGCAGGAAGCTATGCAGCCATGCGTGTGTTTTCTTTGCGACTCCTGTTCCTGGCGTCGATGTGGTAGAAAGGAGCGTCCACACATGGGATGCCCTTTCGCCCACAAGTGGGACAGCTCAGCCCAGCTCAGATGAGGCAGGAGAGAAATAGCGCCCACCAGGTAGCAGGATACATCACCAGACCCGATAATCGAAAAGCGGACGAGACGTGACAACCGCAACGTTTGGTTGCCAGGGGGAATCCAAACACTGATCCCCCCTTGCACGCCTGCGCGCGGGGAGGGGTGCCCCCCCAAAAAAGGGGGCCCTTGTGGTGGAGAAGGAGGGCTTTACATGGAGGCAGCAATATGCGTCTCAAGCTCTTCGGCTCGAAGAGACTTGTCCCCGCCCGCTTCTCGCTGCAACAACAAGGCAATCATCAACCCTGCGGTGGTGCTGCCGGGAAGTTTCGGGACCTTCCCCGGCCTTGGTGAGTACGCGCGCAGCTTCACGTTCGGCGAGGCGCTGCAGCACGTGGAGAAAATGAAAGTGAACGACCACCCGTACAACAACATTAACAAGTAAGGCGCCGAGCGCCGCTACAATGACGTTTTCGATGGCACGCGCGCGGGGCACTGGATGGACAAACTGGACTGCTTGGTCATGTGGTTCGCTGAATACAGCCACAAGACAATCATCTTCGGGTTTTCCCCCATCGACCTCAAGGTGGTGGACGCCTGGTTGCTCGCCTTAAGGGAGCGCGCGAGCATCAGGTACGATCTCACCTGCCCAAACTCGATCAAGCAACTGTGGGCGACAGAGAGCGGCGCGCGCAAGCGACGCGCAGCTCGACCCGCGCCAAGAAACGCCCCCGCAATGAAGGTCGCGCCCGCCAGCGCGCAGAAGAAGAAGAAGCATAAGAAGAAGAAGAAGAAGAAGAAGCCCGCGCGGAAAGCGTCCAAGATGTTTGCGAAGCAAGTCGAGAAGATGATTGGCAAGCGCGAACTCATTGCCGACGAGTCCTTCCTGAACAAGAACAAGTCAGGAAAATTGAACAGAGCGGCGCGCCCCAAAAAGGACCATATCTGGATATTGGGCGCCGTGCTGCAGGGGGAAGCCCGCTCGCACTTCGTGTTCTACATCTTGGAGCACCCCGCAAACGCGAAGGACGGCAAGCCCCGCGGGCACAAGGAAATGAAAAACAATCTCGACATGCTCAACTTCAGCAAGGGCGATGTCTTTGTCCCGAACAAATGGGGCGCGACCGTATCAGCCGATAAAGCCATTCCCCGCCAGAAGGGACTGACGCAGAACACCCTGCGCCAGGAGCTGGTGGACCATGAAGATGGCGAGATCGTGGACGCCAGAGGGTTCACCACCAACGCCATCGAGAACAAGTGGGGTACCTTGAAGAGGTGGTTCAAGACCAAATACGGCGGCAAGCTTCCGAACTACATGGGCCGCGTGAAATGGCACTACGCGATGAACGAGTTCGAGGCGCGCTGCTACCTCAGCAAAGACCACGCGCTGATGGATGAGAAATACTACTACGTGCCTCCCCAAAGGTCTGAAAATTTCTGCCATGGCGTGAACTTGATCGCGCCCGCGCCCGCGGGGGCCCGATGGGCCAGCTTACTCTCCCAGCGACGCGAGAAAAGGAAGCTAAAAACGAAGAGTCCTCCCCCCCGCAGGTAAGTTAACAAAGCGAACGACGACCGCGGCGGCCAAAAACGAAGGGATGACGTCCCCATCGTGTCCCAGAAACGCGTAGGATCAAGGCATTCTGGCCGAAACTTTCGCGCCGTCCGCGTAGACACTCTTTAACTATGGCGAAGAACACAAGGGTGGATGCGATATAAATTATCGCTCGACTGATAGTAGCAGCGCGCCAGGCCAGTGCGCCCGTATCCGAAGGCCCAAGGGAGCAAGCATCATCTGTATCATCATCATCATCATCATCATCATCATCATCATCAGCAACATCATCATCTTAACCATAATCTTAATCATAATCAGCATCAGCATCATCACCATCAGCCTAATCATAATCACCATCATCGCCACCATCATCATCAGCATCACCATCATCACCATCATCACCATCACCACCATCATCATCATCATCCTCATCATCAGCATCATCATCATCATCATCATCATCATTATCATCATCATCATCATCATCATCGTCATCATCATCATCATCATCATCATCATCATCATCATCATCATCATCATCATCATCATCATCATCATCATCATCATCATAGCCCAAGCATCTTCATCATCGCTGTCATCCTCTTCAGCAACTCGACAAACACGAAAACGCGGGGGGGCGTCATGCCCCCTAACCCCTCCAGGACACCCTCGAGAAGCCCCGAACACTGATATTCCTTATGGTTTTAAGCGTTGTTCGCTTTCCACGCTCTTCGGTCGAACACCCGTCTGCACTTGCGGCATTCGAGGGCCCGAAAAGGAGCTCACTGAGGGCCCTAAGACGGAGTTCAGTCGGCCCAGGCTGGCCCCAAGAGAGCCCCAGCTGGCCCCAAATAGCCTCCGGAGGGCCCCAAGATGGCGCCTAGACGGCCAGGGAAGGCCTCGGGGATGGCCCAACGACGGCCCGAGGAGAACCCTCAGCCAAGAGGGCCCCCCAGACGGCGCAACATAAGGCCCGACTACGGCCCAGGAGGGTCCCACAGGGTACCCCCTCAAGCCCAAACCGTCCCCTCAAGAGAGCTCCTCGAGAAGTGGTGACGATCGTCTGGGCGGCACTCGCAGGGTCACCGCGCAGACTGCTTCGCTGGCACGGTGGCAGAGCTGCCGCGGGCACCCGGCTGCCGCCTTCCGTGCTGGCGGCGCCGGAGGCGTGCGTGAAGCCGTGTTCGGGCGCTCCTCCTTGACACGCATTGGCCTGTCCTCACGCGCTTGGTTGCGGGCCCCCAGAGGCACGGATGCTGTGATGATCACGGTTCAGCCTTTTGGGCTCCGGATGCCCCAGATGGCCACCCGAGCAAGAAGTGTGTTGCGGGGGGATGGGCTCCAGAGTGCGCTGGCCGCCAACGGCCAGCAGGATCCCGACGGGCATCTCACAGCCTCGAGACCTCTCCGAGCTCGTCTCCCCTCAAGATGGCCTCACTGCTGCCCGAGACTGCCTCTGGACTTCCAAGACTGCCGCAAAGCTCCCCTGAACGTCCAACAGAAGCTTGAAGAGAGCCCTCAAAAGAGCTGCCGAGGGCCATCAGAAACCCTCCAACAAGCTACTGTGGGGGGGGGAAGACGCCGAAGGCGCACGATCTTTGAGTGGTCTTGTGCTCAACACCCCAGAGGGCTCAAGATAATGGCATAGAGTCCACAATCTGGGTAGCCTTCGGGCAGCCTTGGGCGGCGTCCCAACGGCCCAAGAGATTTACTAGACCAGAGGACCAAAAGAGCGGAGCGGCCCCAAGGCCCAATAATTTCAAGGATGGCCCCACGACGCTCCCAAAATAGTCCCAAATAGCCCATCTCGCACCCGCAGCGGCCCCAAATCTCCCGAGATAGGCCCAAGGCCCAGCAAAAGGGGTCCTGAGAAACGCCTGCCCATAACCGAACAGGCCCACCACGGACCACCGCGACAGCTCTGCAATCGCGCGGCGCTGCGGCGTCCATGGGCTTCTTCCACGAGCGCACTGGCGGCATCACGCTGTAGTGCAACTGGACCAACGACCTGGTCTGGGCATTACTGGCATCTTTTTGTACGAATGCAGAACTATGTTCATATCACACATGAACCCTTTGCAAAACCAAGCTCTGGACTCGCTGCAGCAGCGCGACTGGCGCGATGGGGCCCGATTCAAGCACCTGGTGGCCTGCCGCCCCAAGGAACGCCCGCGGGTGGCATCATTTGGGCCCTCGGCGCCATGGCCGAGAACTTCCCTACCGCGGCTGGAGCCATCTGTCCGCACGGGTGCTGCGGCCCTCCGCCCCCAGGCGCCCAGCCCTGCATTTGCGGGGGGCCCTGCGGAGCGCCGCCAGGTGGCACCTGGGCCCGCCAGTCCGCGGGTGGGCCCACGAAGCCGGGCGGCGGAGCTCCCTGCCAGTGGCCTGCCGCTGCCATCAGGTGTCCCGGCGGTCCGGGCGGCCTCGCTGGCGGCGGGACCTGGGCGCCGCCCCAGCCCCGGGGCTGCATCCAGTCCCCTGGCGGCGGGCCTGCGTAGCCCTGCGGCGGGGGCATTGGTGGCCTCGAGTGTCCAGTGGGGCCTGGGGGGCGCGCTCCGTCCAAGGGGCCCAGCGGAGGCCACGGTTGGTCCAGTGGCTGCCCGGGCCGTGCCGCCGCCATGTGCCAAGGAGGCGTTCCGCCCGGCATGGCGAGCGGCTGCGGCTCCACCGGGGGCGGCGGCGTGCCCTTCGGCTTGCGGTCGCCGCTCCGCTCGTCACGCCGCTGCCGGTGCTTGTGGCGGCGGCGGTGCCGAGAGCTCTCGCGGGGCTCCGCCGAGCCACGCCTGCCGCGGTCGTCTGAGCGGCCCCGCGGTGCGGAGCGCGAGCGCGAGCGCGAGCGGCGTCGTCGGCGACGCCTCCGCCCACTCTCCTCCGAGGCCACAGCGGCCAGGGGCCTCTCCTGTGCCGCCTTCGCCTCGGCTGCGGCCTCGGCAGGGGCTGCGGCCTCGGCAGGGGCGGCCTCTGGGACAGCGTCGGCAGCTGCACCGCCCTCCGCGGGGCTCTCGCTCCGCTCGGCCGCCTTGCCGGGGCCGGCGAAGGCCGCGAGGGCGGCCGAGACCCGTGCGCGCTCTTCCCCCTGGGGCGACCTCTCTGGCGAGCCGTCCTGCTCCCTGTCGCTGTCGGAGGAAGACGAGGCAGACTCCTCGGCGGCGGGCGCCGCCGCGCCCCCCGTCGCGCCGCTGCTCCCCTCCGCCGCCTTGGCCAGGCTCTGCGGCGCGACCTCGTCCCCTGCGCCCTGCGCGGGCGGCTTGGGCGGCGCGGCGGTCGCAGCGGGGGCTCCTGGCCCTGCGCCGCTCACGCCGGCAGCAGCCGGAGGCGGAGCCTCCCGGCCGGCGACGTCGGGCGCCGGCCCCGCCGGAGCGTCCGAGGGCGAGGTGCCAGACTCCTCGCTGCCGTCCTCGCTGTCGAACGCGTCCGCGTCGAACTCCTTGACGTTGAAGGCGCGCGGGGGCTGCGGCGCCCCGTCCGGGGGCGCGGCCGTGGCTGCCGGCGCTGGGGCTGCCTCGGGGGCCACGGCTGAGCGCTCAGACGCTGCGGGGGCGGAGCGGGCCGCGTCCGGTGCAGGCGTCGGCAGCGAGGCACCCTTTGTGGCCGCCGCCAGCGCAGGCATCGTCACTGCCGCCCGGACCGGCAAAGCGTCCAATGCCTCGGCGTCCGAGGACTCCGAACTCGAGGAGGACGACTCTGTGGACGCGGAGTTCTCCGAGAACTCGAAATCAAGGAACGGCCAGCCGGCGCAGTCGCCATTGCCGTCCTCCGCCTGGGGAGGCAAGGCGGCCGGCTTCGTGGGCTTCGTGGCCGCCGCAGCGGCGGCCGCTTCTGCCTCCTCGAAAGCTGTGAACTCGGTGGGGGCATCCTTCGAGTAGGGGATCGACTACAGAATCAATTTACCTCCAAATCAGTTTTCACGTCGAATCTATACAAGCATACGCACCATTTTTGTAGATCTATCAAAGCTCTGCGGATGTCCCACGGATTTGACGAGAAAAACCCATTCTTGAGTTACATCCATTCTGTAGCCGATCCCCTTTTCGAGTCCTTGGCCGCGGCGGCCTCCGCCTCCGCCTCTGCCCCCCGCTTGAGTGGGGGCGGCCTCGGCGGAGTCGGAGACTCTGGCTGCGCGGGCGGCCGCCGCTGCTGCGGCGGCGGCGCGGGCGCTGGAGGCGGCGCGGAGGCCTTCTCGGCTCCGAGGTGGGAGAGGAGGGACGGCGAGGTGGGAGAGGAGGACGGAGGACGCCGAGGAGCGACCCTGAGATCCGACGTTGCCAAACAATTGCAGCAACGCAAACAGTCACGACCGGACCCTACCTTTCTGCGCCATTTCTCAAGCCGGATCGATCTGTGAGGGTCCCGGGGCGCGAAAGGGGGCAAAAACATGCCCGTTAGGAAAAAATTGCAACGCCGGGATCTCAAGGGAACTTGTGGGATCCAAAACCTGGATACCAGGGCGCCGGAAGGGCGTGCGAAGGCCTCTCCAAGGAGCATGGAAGCTCCTGGAGAGAGCTTCCGAAGGACCTTCTGGAGAGCTTCCAAGCAGGCGTATTGGGAAACGCTTAGACAAGGTTTCTCGGGACCCGCCACGACTTCAAGCAACCTGCGCCGAGGTGTCCTGCCGGAAGCCGGCACGAGCTCCTGGGCTACCCTGCCGCTCTGGCATCTTCATCTAGAAACCTCTTGATTCTCTACGAGCTATCCTGGAAGAAGATGGAGGAGGGTGGAGCAGCAGGCGCCCGAGGCGGCGCGGCGGCCTTCTTTGCGAAGCCCTTCGTCGCCACCGCGCCGGGGCGCTGTGGCGGCGGTGTCGCCCCCTCGCCTGCGGCCGGCACTGCGGCGGCGTCGCCCCCGCGCCGGCTCCCACCTATTAGACGAGGCCAGAAGGAGGAGGAGGAGGAGGAGGAGGAGGAGGAGGAGGAGGGAGGAGGAGGAGGGAGGAGGAAGAGGAGGAGGAGGAGGACAAATCCATGGGAGGATGAATCGAGAATCTCTGAGATCTGGCGGCTCTGGATGATGCATCGGGCGCCGCGGCCTTCTCAGGGCGCTCCGGCCGGCTCTGAGAGCGTTCCGGGACGCTCTGGAACGGATCATCCTCGCCCTGACGTCGACCCCTGGAGGTCGGGACCGGTTTTATACATCCCGAGTCCTTTCTTGACGGCCCCAGGACCCGGCAAGGGCCCAGAGGCCGAAAATAGATGTTCCCTACATCCCCCCCTCGAACTCAAACGCAAATTTTCCCAACGACGTGGCGACGCCCCCCGGCCCCCAATTCCCATGTTGACGCCGAAACTGGCGACTGCCACGTTTCTGCTGCCCCCGCGGGGGCCGCGTGGCGCGCGCCCGCATGGAATAGCCGGAGGGCCCAGGGGGTGCCGGGGTGCCATGGAGACTTGGCGCCTCATGTCGAGGAGGCTCGCAGCCCCGCCAGGCCACCGCTGGCCGCAGGCGGGGGTCGCCGCGGCGACTGCGCACGCGGCGACTGCGCCCGGCCGCCCGTGCGGGCGCGCCGCGCCCGGCTGGGCGGCCGTCGCTCGTCGCGGCGCGTCCTGCTCGGGCGCCGCCGCCGCTCGCCCTCGCGGGCGCCGCGCCGGCGGTCCTCGTGCCGCGGCGGCTTGGCGGCCTCGGCGGGCCGCCTCTGCTGCCTCTCTCGGCGGCGAGCCGGGGGGGGGGGGGGGGAAGGTTCACCCCGCGCGCACAGCGCGCGGCGGCGCCAGCAGACGTGCCTACGTCCGTACGCGTGCGCGCACAGCGCACAGCGAGCGGCGGCGCCAGCGGACGCACCTACGTACCGGCCTGGCTTCCGCTGTGCGCCGCGCGCGCTGTGGCCTCTCTGGGCGAAGGGGCGGGCCTTTTTCGAAGGCTCGGAAGTCCCAGCCGCCTTCTGAGAGATCTTCTGAACCTTCCCCGAAGGCGCAGGAGGCTTCTCAGAAGGCTGGAGGGCTTCTGAAAGCTACCGTCGCCTTCTGAGAAGGCCTTACCCTTCTCATTCCCCCCTCTTGCTCGCCGCCGAGCCTCGGCGACCGGGGGTCGTCGGCGGCGGCGTCCGCAGCACGCTTCGCTCGCAGCTCCTGCGCGTCGTACTCGACGCGCTCGCCGTACTTCTCACACACCCGCTCGTACATCTCGTACTCGACGCCGCGGTACTTCGCCAGGAGGTCGTCGACCTCGGCGAGCTTGTTCGGGTTCTTCCTCTTGTAGATGTTACGGATGAGCTTGCGAATCCGCGCGACCATCCGCTCGTCGATGGGTTCTGGCTCCTGGGCAGCGTCGTCGGGATCTGCCTCCTCCACGCTGCTGGCGCTGCAAGGCCTGCGGCGCCCCTCGTCCTTCTGCACGGCACGTGTGCCGTCCCTGGCCCCTTTGGCCTCTGGCGCCTCCTGGGGGATCCGGGGCCAATCATCTTTTCGTTGCTGGCCAAGGGTCAAGGTGAAATTGATGGGGCGCTGATTACTCGGAGCATTCGGCGCGGCGCAGTATATGTGGTGCAGTCTGTGGGACGCAATTCCTTTTCACCAAGTCATAAGTTGGCAACCCTACTGTTCGCGCAATCAGCCCACCCTCCCGCCCGCAATTTGGTTCGCAAAACCCATGCGGCAGCGATTGCGATGACTGCTTGGCCATGGCTGCCGCATTTCTGCGGCCGCGCCAGCGCGCGCTTGCTCGCGCGCAGAGCGGCCAGCTGGTTTGGCACAGCCGATGCGGTCGCGATGGCGCTTACCGAAGGCAACGCCCCAGCGCGTGTCACAGGCCGCGTTGGCGCGCGGGTACTTCAATCCGGGTCGGTGGCTCGGGCAGGTGCGGTATCACGATGATGTCGACACGGGCGGCAAACGTGATGACAGTGGCGATCGTGGCGGCGATGATGGCGATGACCACAATAAGGCCAATGACGGCAGCGATGCTGGTAACACCGATGACACTGATGGTTGATGATGTCCAGGTGCCGATGATGACGGTGCTTGACTTGCGATGCCAGCAATTGCGGCAATTGTCGACAACGGGGTGACGTGATGCGGCGGCGCTGATGAGGGTGATGGCGAGGAAGCGTGTGCCCACAGAAATCCAAATATCCTGGTCAACTTTCTGTTGCACGGCATGTTGTTTTTGCCCGTGCGGTTTTGACCTCAATTTTGAAATGCTTCGAAAACCAGGCTGGTGTTGGAAGGATTTCGACACGCTGGCGTTGGGCGCGCGAGTATGGCCCGCATGGCATGATTTGATATAGGTTCGTGCACTGGGCGCATGCCAGATCAACGCGGATGCACCGCGTGGTGAAATGAGACTGCAGCTTCTGGGCGAGATTGCTAAAACCATATGGTTGTCTCGTGATGTCAGGAAATGCGCGCGGGTAAACAACTTACATGCACTACGTATTTGTATGTTCTTACATGGACAAATCGTTGCAACACTTATTTTTCGTATGACTTCGACATGTGCGAGCGTTTATCGTTATTCATATATTGCGATGAACGAACGCGCGTTTAATACTTTTTCAAAGGGATCAGAGGGGGATCGACAAGGGGACTCTGGGATGATAGGACTCCATTTGAAAAATGTGGTATGATTCTATTTGGAAAATGAGCGACAAGGCAGAACCAAATGCAATACGCGGTGTCCTAAGAGTGGCTGGTTGTCCCGGGGGGTGGCCCTCATACCCTTTACAGAAAAACAATTAACGAGTGTCCACTAATGAATTGTCAACTCTCGCAAGCATCCCACCCTCCAACCCGCAACTTGCTTTGCGCAATCCACGCGGACGCGATTGCACCTACTCCTTGGCGCTGGCTGGCGCATCTCTGCGGCTGCGCCAGCACGCACATGCTCGCCCGCAGAGCGGCCAGCTGGTTTATGCTGGTTTGGCATTGCCGGCGCGGCCGCGATGGCGCCTGCCAGCAGCAACTTCACAGCGCGTCTCCAAAGCCGCGCCGGCGCTCCAGTGCGGGTCGGCGACTCGGGCGGGCGCGACATCATGATGACGTCGACCATGGCGGCAACCGTGATGATAATGGCGATAGTGATAGCGATGATGACGATGACCATGGCAATGCCAGCGACGGCGCCGATGCCGGTGACGATGATGACAACGATGATGTCCAGGTGTTGGCAATGAAAGCGTTCACTGATGACGGTGGATTTGGCGGCGAGTGGCGATGGCGATGATGGCGACGAACTGCGTGGGCGCGGAGATGCAGAAACCTGGCAGACTTCTGGCTGAAAACAGATTTGATTTTCATGTTTTCTTGGACAATGATATCTTGACATGCTTCGAGAAATATTGCCTTTTTGACACGCTGGCGTGGCGGCGCGGGAGTATGGCCCGCATGCCGCATGACCTGATTTGATACGGATTCGTGCACTCGGCGCATGCTGGATCAACGCGGATGCACCGAGTGGTGATATGAGAACGCAGATTCTGGAAGATTTGGCCAAAAACATATGGTTGCCCCATCATTTCAGAAAATGTGTGCGGACAGAAAATCTGCAACGCATGATGAAACATTCAAGGGGGTCTAACGTTTCTACATTGAAGCAGGTGCAGGACTAAGGCGCTTGAACAGATTTCGACATGTGCGCGCGTAGGTACTTTGTGAAATTTCTGAGCAAGGGAACATTGACAAGATAGCTGTCGAGATCAACAAGCGTGCGCATATTACTTGACAGGGATGCGGGGAGGGTCGATGCCCAGCCCTCCTGGGACGATATGACTCCAAATGGAAATGAACGATAAGGAAGAGGAACATGCACATTGCAACACGAAAAGGGGGAGGTAAAGCTGCGCTCGCAAGGGTGGTGGAATCTACCTTTCGAATGAAGAATTAACTAGTGCCGCCAGTGGGTAATCAACCCCACTGCTCGCGCGACCATCCTACCCTCACAGTTGCGGCGACTGCCTGGCACTGGCTGGCGCATCTCTGCGGCTGCCCTGGCGCGCGTGAGCTCGCGAGCACAGCGGCTGGCTGGTCGGGCGTAACTGGCGCGGCCGCGATGGCGCTCGTCGATGGAAACGCCCCGGCGCCTCTCAAAGGCCGCGCTGGCGAGCGGGCGCTTCAGATCGGTGACTCGGGCGAGCGCGATATCATGATGACGTCGACAACGGCGGCAAAGATGATGATACCATCGGTTGCGGTGACGACGATGACGATGATGACGGCAAGGCCCATGACGGCGCAGATGCTGGCGTCGGCGAGGACGATGATGATGGAAGTGCGCGCCCGCAGAAATCCAAGACATTTGACTGGCATCGGTTGGACAACATTGCGGATTTCATGTGCTTTTGGAAAGCTCTATCTTGAATTTCGAAATTGTTTTAGAAGAATCTCGACACACGTGCGTGGCGGCGCCCGCGTGAGGCCCACCTAGTATTTTTGTTGCGGATTCGTGCAGTGGGCGCTTGCTTCATCAATGCACATGGCTTGCGTGCTGAGATGAGAATGCGGCTCTAGACGATATACATGAAATGTCGATGCTGCCCTACAATTTCAGCAAATGCGCGCGGGCAGAACATCTGGAATACTTGCTGGAAATGCCGACCAGTGTTTTATGTTTGCATGTTAAATTGCTTGCGCCAATGTTTGGTAAGATTTCGACATGTGCAAGCGCCCGTGGACGTCGTTGCATGTTTTTGCGAAAAGGATGTTTCAAAACTTAGCTCTCGAAATAAGCGAGTCCGCGCGTACTGTACCATTTGTCAGGATTGGCGGGGGGGTCGATGCCAGCTAGGCCAGGATGGTATCAGCTCATGTAGAAAATAAGCGATGAGGCAGAAACATTATGTACATTCCAGTGCCTCAGGGGGGGGGCGATCTGTCCCGGGCTCGGGGGGGTGGTAGAGCCGATCCTTCCGTGGAACTGAAAATTGACAAAATTGCAGTCGTCAACTTCAATGTTCGCGCAAACATCGCACCCTCCTACCCGCAACTTGTTTGGCAAAACCCGTTCGACCACGATTGCGGTCACCACTTGAAGCTTGGTAGCGCGTCTCTGAGGCCGCGCCGGCGAGCGAACGCTCCCGCGCAGATTGGCCAGCTGGTTCGGCGCGCGCGATGCGGCCGCGATGGCTCTTGCCGATGGGAACTTCCCAGCTCGCCTTGAAGGCCGCGCTGGCGCGCGGAAAATCCAGCGCGGGTCGGCATCGCGAGCAGGCGCGATATCGTGACGTCGACGCGTCGACGGCGGCGACGGCGACGGCGGCGGTGATGATTCATACAGTGGCGATGATGATGATGTTGATGATGATGACGCTGATGCTGGCAACGGCAGCGATGACGCTGGCGACGATGATGGCGATTGTGCTGCTGATGATGGCGAGCGTGTGCGCGCCCGTAGAAACTAAGGCACCCTGGCACGATCTCGACGCGCGCGCGTGTAAACACGCGCGCGTGGCCCGCGTAGCATTATATGACGAAGTTGGTGGGCACGCGATGGTGGTTGAACGTAATTGACATGCGCGCGCGAGCACCCAAGATGGTCTGGTTTGACAGAATGGTGAAAATCCGGAGGTTTTCCTTGTACTGCAGCGCGCGCGCGCTAAATTCTGATGGCTTTCCTGCGGCAGCAAACATACCACATGTTCTTGCTAGGTTGGGATTGGCCATGCATTGAAATAAATGTAGGAAGCACAATGTCCTGTCATGCATTTGCTTCGAATGCTTCTGAACATAATGATTTCGTATATCAAAGCGCACGCGCGGCATTGTGTTTTGCAAAATGGGGGGGGGGGTCGATGTCGGCCTGGCTGGGGTGGTGTGGTTTCATATGGACAATGAACGAGGAGGTCGAATCACACGTGAACTACGCGATCCCAAGGGGAACGGTGAAGTCTGGGTTCGGTGGGGTGGCGGCGTCTATTCTTCCAGCAACAGGAAAGCGAATTATGAAAACATGGAACTCTCAACTCCACCGCTCGCGCAAACATCCTACCCTCCCACCCGCAACTTGGCCCATTCGGCCACTATTGCGGCATCCGATTGGAGCTTGGTCGCGCATATCCATGGCCGCGCTGGCGCGCGCGTGCGCTCAAGCGCGGATCGGCCAGCTGGTCCAACGCATATGACGCGGCCGCGATGGAGCTTGCCGACGGAGACTTCCCAGCGCGCCCCAAAGGCCGTGCTGGCGCGCGGGCGCTTCAGCGTGGGTCGGGGACTTCATTGGGCGCGACTTCGCGATGACGCCGGCAATTGCGGCAACGACGATGATGGCGGTGATGGCGGTGGCGATGATGACGACCACGGCGGCAAGGCCAATGACGGCGCCGATGCTGGCGTCGACGATGACGATGACGATGACGATGTCCAGATGTCGGCGATGAAAACGACTGTGATGATCATGGCCGACATAGCAGCGATTGACGATGGCGAGGACGGCTGCGATGCGATGG